GAACTCTGATCAAAGTGGTTCCATCTAAGTATGTGGTGCTTTCTTCTTGCCCAGCCCGGCACCCACCCACCCAAGGAGAGACTATGAAGAAAAGGATCCTGGAGTTTCGGGTCAGAAACCCAGTTGTTTCTCGTGCTCTGATGTTAGGAAATGCCATCTACTATCTTTGAAGTTTGATTTTCTGTCTGAATTTTAAAACTCCAAGCTGAAATACTTTTAAATTAAGTCTATAGTAATAACTATACCCTGTTTGTGAAAGTTTTTTCCTTCTCTGACACTCTTTTAAGCTCCTAGACAGACTTTTAACAGAGTAATTGTTAATTATGCCTGCAGGAGGCTAGGGAAGAGTGGTTTTGCTCAGGGCAGTTTCTCCAAAACAAATTCCAGTAAGATGGGAGTGTGATGAGTTTAAAGAACCAACATTGCCTTGAGGAAAGTCACTGTTACCAACTGCAAGGTGGAAAGTTTCCATATTTGAAATTTTGCTTCTATCCTGGCTGACAGTAAGCACCCAGGATTGTGGCACAGCCTTTACTTGGGACATTTTCTACAAAGCATGTCTCCTCAGAAGAGGGAACACAAGATTCCAAGATACCCTTATTAACCCGTGTAGTTCTCTGCTAACTTTCTCTGGAAATCACAAGTACTTCACTTGTTTTTAACCTGCATTTCATATTAAAACAGAAAATAAGTAAGTAGGGAATGGCCACCAAACCCATAGCTTCCAGCCCTTGGATCAAAACAAGAGGCTCCTGCTGTTTAGGGCTCAGCTTCTTGGTCTTTTGATAGTCACTCCACTCCACAGAACACTTATGGTGCAAGTATCTGGCAGACCCTACTCTAGGTGCCAGTATAGACAGAGAGCTGAGGCATCAGCTATCAGATTAATATCCTTCCTTATCTCCACTTTCCATTCTCAGGAGAATGGTCTCTGCCAAATTGATAGTGGACTCTTGGTTCACTAGGGCTTAGGAGCCCATAAACCAAAACCAAACCCATTGCTGTCCCCGTCAATTCAGACTCTCAGCGACCCTATTGGCCTAGTGCCCTCATATTAATTTAGTCAGCCCACTAAAAAATTAACCAGACAGTTAGTTCCTCTCTTCAAAGAACCTGCAGGATAGCTAGGGGAGAGGATTAGACAAATACATCAAAAACAAGACGGGGGTTAATCGGAGGCATCGGCAGGGTTATAAACCAGCAAAAATCTTTTTACATTTCAGCCCCCCTCACCCCCAAACCAACAATCCTAATCTAGGCTCTGCCTGAGGCCCCTCTAAGCCATCCCTCCTCACTTACCCTTTCAGCAAAAGCAGGCCACGTGGCTTCAGGGCAGTTTCAACAATTTCCTCCTTGGTAGTGGAATGCTTTTCTCCTAACCCAACTCAGTCCTTGGTTAAATTTGGACTTGTCTTTTGTATTCAAACTCCTAATAGAATTTTAGCCTGAAAGCCAATTTTAAATATATCTGGATTCTATGAGGGCTGTTGGAGAAAGCAAAACCAGTATTTGCTTTTTTTCTCATTTCTAAATTGGTACAAATCTTGGGGGTTAAGCCAGAACTCTTAAAATGGTCACGAGTATTTTAAAATTTGTGGTGAATCTCAGGAAAACAGGACAGTGCAGCTCTTTCTTGCTCTAGCTCTCCCTATATAACAATTGGTTCTTCATTGGAGGGGGGAGTGATTTTGTTTCCCAGGGGACAGTTTGGTAATGTCTGGAGACATTTTTGGTCGTTACTATACACAGGACCACTCCTCGGAAGGAAGGTTGGGCATTCCTACTTCCGTAGTGATACTGCCTTGGAAACCCAAGGAGGGGTCGCTATGAGTCAGGGCCAACTCGATGGCAAACAACAACAACATACACAGGACAGAAAGCCACAATGAATTATCCTCTCCAGATACCCAGTAGCACAAAGATAGAGAAACCTTGATTGCCATTCGCCATTATTATGATCCGTACTTTCCCCTGGCTCCAGGGACAGGCAGAAGTTCTAGATCTAAAGATGTGTGGCTAAGCAAAAGAGTTGTTATAGAAATCCATTTACTTCATGGGTCTCCGCCAAATTGATAGTGGACTCTTGGTTCACTAGGGCTTAGGTTCACATGGGCTTCTGGATGAGGCTTTAGACTAAAGGGTTTTTGTTTTGTTTCATTTGAGGTTGAAGCTGGGTTTTTTCCTCCCTTCCAGCCATCCTTAGGAGGCATAAAATATTTGAGAAGGAGCTTAAGAACGTAGTTAACAGGTTGTTGGGGCCCTAATAGGCCCAACCTTGGAAGGAAAAAGAAACTATTGTTAAAATGTCCTTTTTCCTCCTTTTCTTAGAAAGGGATTCCCTGATCCCCCTCACCTGGCAGTAGCAATTATCATTCTCTACCCCAGCTTCAGGGTGCCACCAACAGCAGCCAAAGAATGGGAAGATTTCTTATATCTTCTGCATTAAATTCCCAGAGATATTCAAACTTTCCAAGCGCAAGCACTGAAAACACTAGTTTAATATACTAAGGTGAGGTTTCAGCATCCACCCAAGGCCCAGAAGCATGCACTGATAGAAACGGAGCTACCAGATGAGGCTCAAGGAATTTCCACCAGTTGCAGAGGTGGGAGTTAGGGAGACAAAGTCTAGTTTTTTAAGTGTAACTCTGCTCCCTCCTGATAACTTATTCAAATTATTTCCCAGAGACAGATATGAGTACCTGGACATTCCAGGACCCCAAAGTCCAAGATATCGGCCCCCCTGCTAACCCTTCTGCAACAGCCTGGAGTGGGGCTCTACTCCACAAGCCTGAAGTCATCCCTCCTTTCCCTTGTGAATGATGCCATCCAATGTTTTCCAATTGCATTTGATCCTAAGGTTAACTGGGCTGGGGCATAGATCTCAACCTTCCTTGGAATTTGGATATCACTATGGAACTCCAGAACATGGCCTGGATAACTCACTTGGTAAAGCATCAGACTTTTAATCTGAGGGTCCAGGGTTCAAGTCCCTGTTTAGGTGGTGTCCACCAATTCTGGGAGCTCTGGTGGCATAGTGCCTAAAGCATTTCACTGCTAACCAGAAGGCTGGTGGTTCAAACCCACCAGCCACTCCTTGGAAGGAAAGTTGGGCAATCTACTTCTGTAGTGATAACTGCCTCGGAAACCCAAGGAGGGGTCGCTATGAGTTTGGTTTATGGAACTCCAGAAGGTGAGGGGATACATTGCCCTCAGCCTCTCCCTAAATAGCCTTTGAAGGGGAGACAAGAAAATATTGGATCTGACTCTTTTATTCCAGCCTCACAAAATTGGGGAAGCTGCCCAGTCCATCTCCAGACCAAGAGAGATTTTAATCTCTTTGTGATCAGATAAAGGAGAGAGTGGGGGAGGCTTGCCACCCTGCTGAGGAGGGCCATTCAAAGCTGGTTCCTGTAATAAAGTGATTTAATAGATCTAAAGAGGCCAATTCCCTTCTTTCTCCCACAATTACTTCCTGTGGGTTATCATTCACATATGTAAATGAGACAGGAGGGGGGCAAATCCACCAGCTTGAAAATAGCTGTCTGATGGGGTGGGGGGTGCCACTGCAAAGAGACAGTTAAGCATCCTACTGAAGGCCTCCGACAGATGTTCAAGTAGCCCAATGACCCAGGGCGCCAACTTCAACCAGTGGGTCCCCATCTCCCTGGATCCCCACCCACCCAGCTTCATCTTACACAGAACCAGTGGTGAGGGCTCTCTGTTGAGGATTTCCCCACTGCCTCCAACCAGTCCACCCAGCATCTCCCTTCCCCACCCCTCCCCCTCCAGAATACCATCCCTCAGGCTCCAACCCTTAATCCCTACATCCTCCTTTCCCCTCCCCCATGGCTCCTAGGGCCAACCTCCTTGGCAGTAACCCCTCCCTGCCCGGCCTTGTGTCAACCTCCAGAGTCTGGGATTAGAATTTAGAAATCTCTTCTCCCCCAGGTCCAGCCCCAAACCACCTAAAATGGAAGGGATCCAAGCAAGCCACCTGTCTTTATATGGTTGTTATGGGCGGCTGGGCCATCCTAGGGCCACTGAAATGACTCTAGAATATTCAGAGAGGGGTGAGAGGAAGAGGAGGCCAGGGAGGAGGAGGGGGACCTGAAGTCTCAGTCTCCTTGTTTGAGGCCAGGAATGTCAGGACAGCAATCAACCACTGTCTGGGGCCATAAATGCCAGGCCGAGGAGAATAGGCCTGGAAGGCCAGCCTCCCTCCACCCCCTGCCCCGCGACACTGAATTTCACCGCCACTGTGTTGCTCTGCTTTAACTGAGAACTTGGGGTTGTGACCAAAGTCCCTCCCAGCCTGGCCCAGGAATCTAAGGCCTAGGACTTCTTAGATTTTTCTCCCTGACATTAACTGGACAGCAAAGACCCCAGTCCTTGAACTGTGTGCCTGAGATGGTTCCTATAGAGGAGCTTTCAAGCCCCCAGATGAATCCTTCAGGGATCTGTCAAACCTACCCGTCTTGGGACTTGAGTTTTCAGTGACCACCTGGCTGAGGTCTGTATTAAAAAACATGCAGGTTGGGTCTGGAAGTCGGTTTCCCTCCTTCTCCCGCCCTCCCAGCAGCTCCTTTCAGAGGTTAGTGAAAGGCGCTGGGCGCTCAGCGCCCGCCCGGCCCCGGCATGTGCTTCCCTGGCCGGCCGCTCGCCCTCCCCCCACCAGCAAGCACAATACAACCTTAGTTTCTGCCACATGGGGTCACCTCCCGTTCCTCTGCCCCTTCCCAGGGGAAAGAGGTAACAGACACGTGGTCAGCCGGAGGGGTTCTCGGAAGGGGGTGGGGAGGTGTTGATAATCGGCGCTGCCTCCTACTTCTGCCCTGTTGAACTTAACAGGGACTCAGGATCGAGGTACCATGGCAAAGACGGGTACGCACAACGTGGGGCCCCGATCACCCTAAATCCAACAGCGGAGTCCTTCCTCCACCCAGGGTTATGCGTGTCTCTGCCCCCTCCTGCTCACAGCAAAGTTACCGAATGAATCTTACCTGGTGCACAAAGACGTCCACCGGGGGGTCGAGCGCGACCCCGGCGCGGGCGGTCATGGACAGGAAGCCGAACCCCATGCGCACGTTGAACCACTTACAGATGCCGGCACCATGCAGCAGCTGCGGTTCTTCTCCCGCCCGGGCCGCGTCCTCCGGCGCCTCTTCCGCCGCCTTGGCGCAGCCACCTGGAGATGGGGAGGGAACCGGGCGCTCAGTTGGGGGGGTCCCAGAATCCGAGGGCCCTCACAGAGACCGGACAGAGAATCAGAGCACCTCGCGGGTGGACACCAGCAGCCTGCACCCTCGAGAAGAGACTTGTCCTGGCCGCCTCCCTCACTCCCAGTCTACACGGAGACCAGTGGCGCCCCGAAAGTTTTGTTCCTCTTCCCACTACCCGTTGCCCCGGGACAGACAGTCAGACAGGCCCCTCCTCTGCTTTCTCCCCTCCAGGGTAGCCTCAGCGCCCACGCCGCTGGGACCTCAGGGTTCTTTGCTCCAGAAACGGCCCCTTGAAGCCAGAGGCCGCACCGACTTGGGGTCCTCGGGGCAGCCCGGGAAGACACTTCCCCACTTCCCTTCTACGTGGCTCCTGGGCGCCCCCGCAGTCTAGGTGTCCCCGCTAAGTTCTAAGCTCGAACCTGCAAACTGCTGGTTGGACACCGAGCCCATATTCGTCGGCTGAGCCCGCGGGCCGGGCCCCTAGTCCGGCGGCTGCTGGCCCCAGAGAAGTCCGGAGGCAAAGGGGTGGCTCGGAGAAGAGGCTGCTACATCTTCCCCCGCACAATAGCGGTGGGAGGGCCCACGGCTTTTCAAAGGCTCCCAAATTCTAAAAGACAATGACCCAACCCCCCGCGGGCAGCCCCCTCCCCTCCCCTCTTTCTCCTTTCCCCTCCCTTTCCCTCAGCCTCCAGCTCCGGCCCTCCCCCCACAGCTCCGGTCTCTGACACCTCTGGGGTGTCCCTTCCCAGAACCTGGAGGTTTGACACCCCCTCCCCACACACTCATCTGGAGATGGGGACCATCTGCCTTAGAAGTCTTGGGTACCCCAGGATTTGAGATCCTGCACTTTTAAGGGCACAGTGGGGATCCTCAAAGCAGCATACAGGTGGGGGTCTTGGGGGGTTAGTTTTAAAACCACGTGACTGATCCCACACACACTCACGCACCATCCCCACCCCCCGCGCAGATAATTATACATTCCAGAGAGTTGGGGGAGGGAGGTGTGAGCCTGGCAGTGCTGGCCAATCAGAGACACAAACCACCTGTCAAAGGAGAAATGGATGAGCCCACCCCCTCCCCCAGCCCCTGAGCTCTCCTCCCCCTCCCTTCCCCCTCAGGCCTTTGAGCTGACCCGGCTGCTTGGCGCTGACCTGCTCTCACCCCCCACCCCGTGTGCTTAGATAGACCTGGAGTTCGGGACACTAGGAAACCTGGGTGGGGGAGCAGGGAGAGGCCAGAGACTGGGCAGGGCTGATCTCCAGTCCTGACTGAGGCATTACGTCTCAAAGTCTGTCCACAGCCTCTGTCTGTAATTGAATGTCTCTGCCTCTCTAAGTTTCCAACTCAAATTCTTTCTGGATCTCTCTGGATTAGAAGAAAGTGCTCCTAACTGATTCTCTGTAAAGAATCCTTCATTCTAAATCTGTCTAAAGTTGGTCCCAAGTAGGGTTCTCTGGGAGAACAGGAGAACCCCAAAGAGGCTTACAACATTTCCCTGTTCTCCATCTGCGTTCCATTTCTGCCTCCACCCCCACCCCACTCATTGCTGGGAGAGGGACTGGGTGAAAAGGTGAATAGAGGCTCTTCCCTTGCACTCGGGACATTCTTAGATTCCCAGACCCTCCTGTTTGTGAGTCAACATCCTAATGTGCTCCCCACAGAGAGGTTGGTGGGGTAACTGGAGTAGGAGGTCTCCTAATTTGAAGGGGCAGCCTGCCCTTCCTCCTAGGAAATAAAGAGTGTCAGCCTGGGGGTTGGTTACTGCCCTGGTCGGAGATGGACAATGGCCCGGGGCTCAGTGCACGGCCCTGGCCCTGCCCCTTCACTTCCGGTGCTCAGTTCAAACTGGACAATGCCAGCTCCGGTCAGTTCCCCTCCCCCACTGTTACAACCAATTTAAAGGGACAGAGCCTGCTTTCGGGCATCCGCTGGCTCTGAATTAAATCTTCTTCACCAACTGTGGAGAACTTCGCATGCTTCTCCCCCTGCATCCGTGTGTGTGTGTGTGTGTGTGTGTGTGTGTGTGTTTGCGTGCATATTTGTATTTGAAAGAGAAAGAGGATGAGTGGAGGTGGGAAAGAGGGAACTAGGAAGGAGAAAGAGGGAGTGTAGAGAAAGGATTTCCCTTTCTTTCCTACACAGAGTACTCTAAAGGACTAAACTTGAACGTAAGGGACAGGGAGTGGAATTTGAGGGGATTTAAAAAATAAGACTGTCCCCCCCTGCCATTCTGCCTTAAAAAATACATATAATTAGCAACTATTATTATCAATGCCCCACTTTCAACTGAGGACCCTGATGTTGAAATACCAAGAGTTCTTTGAGTACATCAGCCAAAGCCATTTTAATTTACTATTTACATAATCCTTCTTAACTAAGAACCTTATCTCCCCAATTAGTAGCGCTATTAAATATATTTACTCCTTGTACCTCCTCCTAACATTCAAGAGCAGGTGACAGATCTGTCTGAAAAAAAAGGGAGGGAAAAGGGAATTCAGCGCTCTGGTTTCGCTTGGTTTGATTCTAAAGGGATGTTCCTCCCCGCCGGTGCTACCAGAGTCTCTATCCATGGTGCTGAGGGCGCTGTGAGCTCTGTCCATGGTTCTGAATCAATACATTGCTTTCCAGGCTCAGGGCTCCCAGATCCTGGATTTGAAAATGCCTTCTTGAGCTTCCACCTCCAAGTCCTTCCCAGAAAACCTCATTCTCCTCAATCTCCCAATGACAATGACACACTTGAAAATAACGAAGAGACTTTTTGAACACTAAAGAGCAGTTTTCCAGCAATACATTATTCTGCAAAAGCAGTTTGGGTATCTCAAACTCCCCTTCAGAAAAATGGATAGAACTACTCATGTGGCCATAAAGAATGAGGAAAGAGGAGATAATATTTTCTGAGTCAGAGAAGACTAGAGTAGAACAGAGATTAATCTCTCCTTTAAAATAATGTCCTTAATTATTAGCACTTTTCATAGGTGCACAGGTATGAAAGTTAGATTGCCCATATTTGAACATCAGCTCCACTATTTACAGTTTAAGGAACCCTGGTGACACAGTGGCTAAAGTGCTTGCCTGCTAACTGAATGGTCAGTTGTTAAAACTCAGCAGGCACTCTTCAAGAGGAAGATTAGGTAGATAGTCTGCTTTGGTAAAGATTGTATAGCTTGGAAATCCTATGGGACAGTTATACTCTGCCCTGTAAGGTCACTATGAGTCAGAATTGACTAGATGGCAATGGGTTATGAGTAACCTAGGTGTGGTAGTTAAGTTTGTGTGTCAACTTGGCTAGGCCTGGTTGAGTGGCTGGGCAGCTGAATGTAGTTATTCCCCATGGTGAGATTAGTAATTAACTCCATGGTGGAATCTATTGGAGCAGCTGAGTAGCTGCTTTGGGTATATGGTCTCATTCCCAAATGTAAACAGCTTTGGGAACAGTCTCTAGCTTATGGCACACTTGGACCCTGCATGAAGCCATGTTATTGTTCAGCAGCCTGCCATACTCTGCCAACCTTGGGACTTACAATGGTCTTGAATTAATGGCCTGCCATGTGGTTTGGTAACATCAGGACTGTGCCATTTTATTTTTTGACCTTAGGCTTGTTAGCCTCAGCAGCCAGTAGCTGCCTGAGTGAAGAAAAGACTCTAGCTTCAGTGGGTCGGGAGCAGGAGGCAGAGCTAAGGCCTAAGGTCAAGGGGCTTTCACCTAGCCCCTAGAGCCTGACACTTTAATTTGGATTTCTAGGCTCCTGAACTGCAAGAGAATAAACTCCTATTTGTTAAAGCCATTCCATTTGTGGTATATTCTTGTCAGAGTGGCACTGGGTAACCAGAACAGGATTTGGTACCAAGAGTGGGGTGCTGCTCTGACAGGTACCTAAAATGTGGAAGCAGGAGTGGAATGAGTCCTTGACCCAAGACCCCAGCAGTGAGACCTGGTATGAGAGACAGCAGTAGCAGAGCCCAGAGACTGGCATTAAACAGCAACAGGCTTACCAGCCCATGGAGGACAAAGCCGGGAGCCATTGGGCTGGCAGCTTCCTGGCGGAGTGGGTTGCCTTTGGACATTATTTGGTAGAAAAGACTGGCTTGAAATGGAGAAGCAGGTTGGCTGTCCCATGGAACAAGAAAGCTAAATGTTCTTTGTTGTTGTGTGCCGTCGAGTCGGCCCCAACTCATAGCGACCCCTCCTTGGGTTTCCGATGCAGTATCACTATGGAAGTAGGATCGCCTAACCTTCCTTCCGAGGAGTGGCTGGTGGGTTTGAACCACCAGCCTTCTGGTTAGCAGTCAAGTGCTTTAGCCACTATGTTACTAGAGCTCCTAAATGTTCTTTGGGGTAGGAAAATTCCTGGCGGAGTGGGTTGCCCTTGGACATTAATTAGCAGAATCAGAGAGACCAAGGAAATGGAAGCAGAGCTGCCTCAGCCTGAAAGGTTAGGACCATGACATTTGGGGGTGGAACCACCACAGCCCCCTAGGTTTCAAAGAGCCAGACCTTCACCCACTTGGTTCTGGAGTGTGGGGCTGCTCGTTCATGTGAGCCAGTGGGATGGAGTCAAGCTGTTGCCCAAGAGTGAGGGGGCAGGGCTGCCATGCCCAAGATGTAGAGAAACGGGGCCCACCAGCCAAGGGGGTGAGGTTGCCATTTAGAGGAACTAGGGGACTGCAGCCACCCAGTGAACGAGATCTGTACAGATGCTACCAATGAAGATCTGTACAGGTGCCAAGTTGACAAGGGGGTGGGATTGTGGTAGTTAAGTTTGTGTGTCAACTTGGCTAGACCTGGTTGAGTGGCTGGTCAGCTGAATGTAGTTATTCCACATGGTGAGATTGGTAATTAACTCCACGGTGGAATCTATTGGAGCAGCTGAGTAGCTGCTTTGAGTATTTGGTCTGAATCCCATATGTAAGAAACAGCTTTGGGAACGGTCTCTAGCTTATAGTACGCTTGGACTCTCCATGTAGCTGTATCGTTGCTCAGCAGCCTGTCATGCTCTGCCAACCTTGGGACTTACAATGGACTTGAATTAATGGCCTGCCATGTGGTTTGGTAACATCAGGACTGTGCCTTTTTATTTTTTGACCTTAGGCTTGTTAGCCTCAGCAGCCAGTAGCTGCCTGAGTGAAGAAAAGCCTCTAGCTTCGGTGGGCTGGGAGCAAGAGGCAAAGCCAAAGCCCAAGTTCGAGGGGCTTTCACCCAGGCCCTAGAGCCTGGTACTTTGAATTTGGGCTTCTAGCCTCCTGACCTGCAAGAGAAATAACTCTTGTTTGTTGAAGCCATCCCGTTTGTGGTATATTCTTGTCAGAGTGGCACTAGGTAACCAGAACACTAGGGCAAAAGAGCCCTGGTGGTGCAATGGCTGAGTGTTCAGCTGTTAAGAATTTGAACCCACCAACCACTCTGTAGGAGAAGAGATCTGCTCACTTAAAGATTACAGCCAGTTCTACTC